TTTCTCCTACATCATCCTCTGCATTTTGGTCTCAATGATTTCAAAATTTTCCATGTGATGTACTGTCTAAGTTATAATCATATTATTTTTTAATAATCTTTTTTGCCTGTTTTACAATTGTTATTAAAAGTAAAATGAAGAAATTTCTTTTACTTCAGAAAGTTACAAAGATATTTTTTTTCAATGAATTCGTACTATAGTTTCACCAGGGTCGTTTCTGTTATTTTCTTCTGTTTTTATTTATTTTATTTTCACATAACATATTTTTGAGTCAGATAAATTCAGGCGCATGATTTAAGTCCACAATAGGTAACCGATGTTCAAATATCATAAATATAGTTGTAGGAATATTTATAATAAAATCACTTGTAGTGACCGATGTAGTGCTACTTTCTAAGCTGTCGCTTATCTTACATTTTATAAACTTTTGAATGTTTTGAAGAAAGGTTTTACGATAATATATTTTAATGTGATTGATTCTTAAGGAGCAGTTTTGAGTAGCTGTCTTTGGAAGCAAGATTGTGCACTTTGCATCCATTACACGAATGTCTAGACCTTCTGTAGTCTGGTGGTAGCGTGTTCGACTTTAGAGTGGGGGAGTCATGGGATAGATCGTAAGCTTGGTCAAACCAAGTACTAGTATCTGAAAATCGGTTTTTGTTTTCTTTCCAGCCCTGTGCGCTGCATATAGGAGTAGGAGCAATGATTGGTAAGCTCGGAGTTCAAGTAATATGTCCGAGTAGGTTGACATGTCTCCTTGTTAACTATTGCCTTGTCACTTAGCACGGTAGAAATCCTACTCAGCGAGTAGTCTCATCAAGGACACTGAACGAGTTACTTTTTCCACCTCTGATATTGAACAGAATGGTGCAGGTGTATAAGTTGAGTTGCAATTAATTTACCTAATCTATTCACTAACCTGTCCACAAACAATGTATATCGTCGCATGTCTGTTGTTGAAGAAAGCCATAGGCCGGCCTTTATATGTCTTTTGAATTATTATGTTGTAAGCATGCCGTGTCAATGATATAAACCACATATTTACTTTCATTCATTATCGAAATAACCATATTATAGCGTTATAAGATTTCGTAATCTACAATTTTTTTTGGAATACTTTGCGTATAAACTAGGGTTTTTTCTCTCTTTTCCCCCTTACCTCTTTCCTCGTTTACGACCCCCCCCCCCCCTCCCCCTAATATCTATTTGTCTTTTTTATGCCATGGTGTTATCTGCCTTTCATCGACTTATGCTTTTATATATACCACTTTGGTCACTCTGCTGATTTTACCTACGCGGCGCTGATACAGTTGTAGTTATGACCGAGTTTTAAAAGGTAATTATGTGATAAATAGTTTTTGCAATAAAATTATCGCTCTCTTCGATTGTTATATCACTTTTTCTTTAGCAATGATGCGACAGGGTGCAAAATAGTTTAAATATTGCTTACAAACATTATTCTCAAAGTTTATATATCATCATGATTTTGTCAACAGTTATAGTTTATCTCTGTCACAGCTGACCATGTATATTTTTGTCGCTTCGATCCACATCCTCGTCCCCTCTTTCAAGATATCACCAAATTTGAAATTAAAAAAAAATATACTATTCATTCATTTGAATCAGAACGTAAACTGTTAGCACAAAACTTTGATAGAAATTGTAGTCAGATGAAAGCGGAGTCTTTCAAAGTAAAATCAATTATAAGTCATATACCTGATATATTGGCATAATGAAATATCGATTTCAAAGTAGGTAACTCGTAAAACATTTATCAAATTTCAATAATCAGTTTACCTGTATATCATAGAATAATGATTTATAGTTACGTATGAGCTTACAGGTTAACCTTACCATAATAAATTACTTATTCAAATTATCAAATTTGCAATACTTAGGAGTATATGTATTAACCATTTGTACAAAGCACACGAACAATGTGGAAAACAATGTTGGTCCATTTTTTGGGTGGTGTTTATCATTCTATATTCTTGGGAAGTTTTCTTGTATCTCGGTTTGTTTTTACTCAAATTTAAAAAAAAATATGACGAAATCAAATGATTCGTTTTTTAGTCAATAACAGAGCAGCATGTGTATGAATTGAACACCTACTGTAAATAAACCCTAATGAAAGAGTTTGAAAAGTTAAAATATCATTTTCTGATAATTTCAAGTGGGACAACTTACGGTTTCTGAATCAAAATTATCACTTTTTCATCAAGGGTAGGATGAAAGCCAAAATCATTTAAACCTGAATATTTGTTGTCAAACAATACCTAAAACGATTTTACACCATATATCTTTAATGAAAAAGGAATAAGCACTGAAAAGGTGAAAATTTCATTTCAGAAATCGAAAGTTTTCTTTTATAATTATCTCAAAATGTCGTGTTGATTTTTAAAACATCAAGTTATATTTACAGTTTAAAGTAAAATAACATAAATACCGAACTCCAAGGAAAATTCAAAACCTGAAAAGTCCCTTATCAAATGGCAATATCAAAAGCTCAATCACATCAAACGAATGGGATACAACTGTCATATTCCTGACTTGGTACAGGCATTTCCTTCTGTAGAAAATGGTGGATTAAAGCTGGCTTTGTTGCTAGCTAAACTTCTCACTTGTATGACTTGTATGTGTTAGCAAAACAAATAGATGTTCAAGTCATACAAATGCTGATCTTTTATCGACGAATAACTTAATTTCGTTATATCAAAGGCCAATATGTCTCCTCCCAAACATAGCTAATTTGATTTTATTTGAATATGTGAAAAAAAGTATTAACAAAAAACGAACTGAAAGATAAATAACAAAAGGGGATGTCCATTCAATCTGAAACAAAAAACCAAAATACCCGTTGAAAACTTTTAATCTGAAACGCGAATGGTACATATCGTGCACTTCCTTTCATCATTTCGATTATATCTGGTTGCTGCTTACGTAGAAACTATTTAAGATAAAGGAATTTTTACGGTATATAAATAATGTAATCGGAAGTTTAACGGACATCACTAGGATTCGGTCGACCGTTTAAGAATATTTCTTTCAAAATTGACCATGATTTCTTTTGGTTTTGTCAGGTTTTTCTAGGCTTCCCCTGTTTTAATTTACTTTGGGTTTTTATACTTTTTTTAATCAAACGATTCGTTTTTCGGCCAATAAAAGTCAGCATTTGTATGAATTGAACACCTACTGTAAATATACCTTATGAACAAATTTACAAATAAACACGACCTTTTACGAATTGTAGGTTGGCAACTTATACAAATCATCACTTTTCTTAGTAGTTATCCCTCTGTCATTCAAAGATAGTTGTTAAAATTAGTTACATTTAAATGTTTATCTTTTTTCGAACTTTTTTTTATCTGAGCGTCACTGGTTAGTCTTGTGTGGACGAAACGCGCGTCTTGCGTATTTAATTTTAAACCTGGTACCTTTTGTTAGCTATTATTCGTATGTTTCTCTGTCCTATATGTTCTCCCATTTATTTGTATTGTAGTCCTGTCATGTAATGTTGTCATTTTAATGTTATATTTAACATTGCCATAAAAGCGGGAGGTTTGGCTAGCCACAAAACCAGGTTCAACCCACCATTTTTTTCTTAAAATGTCCTGTACCAAGTCAGGAAAATGGCCATTGATATATTATAGTTCGTTTCTGTGTGTGTTACATTTTAATGTTGTGTTTCTGTTGTGTCGTAGTTCTCCTCTTATATTTAATGTGTTTCCCTCAGTTTTAGTTTGTAACCCGGATTTGTTTTTTCTCAATCGATTTATGAATTTCGAACAGCGGTATACTACTGTTGCCTTTATTTATGGCTTTCAAACCTTTTGAACCTTGTTTAAATTGTTACTGGTACATGGCCTGTGCCTCCTTTCATCAATTGTTGTTGCTTACATGTTAGCTATTTAAGAGCCAATCCGCCAGAAAACCATGCAATATTCAGAAAATCGTCCAAATCGACAATCACAACTTGACAAATTTTTATACATCATCTTAATCCTTGACATAAAATAAAAGAATTTGACCACTTAATTTTTCCCAGAATCGTATCTATTTTTAGTAACAGCCTCATTTGCATAATTCTGTAAATTCATAATGAAACCAAGGAAAAATCCAACTTTTTTATGCCTTTTAAGAATGACCCAGAAGCATATTAAATGGGGTAGTTGAGTTTTTAGAGTAATGTCAGCTGAAACTCATCCATTTTACTATGTTATGATCAATACAAATGAAAATTTAAACAATTTGGCACATTGCCAGGAGCAGGGACACGAAGGCGGGGTTTTTCATACATGAATCTACGTGGTTTTCATTCGCTTCTATCTTGCAAGACCCATTCCGGATTTGTTTGCAACTTATATCGGTTTTAACTATGGGGTATGTTTTATATCAAAACAAAATATTAAGCTTGGCAAATGACTATTATATGTTAATTTATGCCTTGGAAGAATGGTGATTTTAGTCCCAAATTGACACATTTTCATTTTGATTTTAATTAAATTCGTACTTTTTCTAAACACAATTGGTACTAAAATGGCTCATAAAATCATTCGAACAAGTAAAATCAATATGTCTGAAAAATGAAATAAGACTTATTTGTACTGCAAGTCCAAAAATAGATAAATTGTCTGAAACCAGGGAGTCTATCTTTTATGCTCTTCCATTGACTTATCTCCCTTGGATAAGATCTCAAACATGTCAGCTCCCAGTGATGCCTGATTGTTTGGCAGACAAATGTTTACAGTGAAGTTTGTGACTTTAATAATCTAGGATGAGCATGTGGGCTATCCCAGCCTTATACATCTACATATTACAAACTATTTAAGATATCTGAATGCACTAAAGACCAAAATAGCATTTCCAAAAAAAATAATTACTGCCAAGAAATTTGACAATCATGACAATAATTTAGTGAATAAACATGATAAATATTGATTGGAAAAATAAGTCCATGAACAACAAAAAGTGTTTTTAGATTTCAACGAGCAAAACAAAAAAAAAGTGAGCGAGTGGAACCACCTTGCTCGCACCAAAATTGAGATTGAGAGTGTCAAAACTGCTCTGGCGCACCATCAATAAATCAACGACACTCTCTCTACCGTGGTATTGAAACCAGCATTGGTAACCAAACATATTCATACAGATACAGACTACCATTCATCTACATTTAGGAAGTCTGAATAATACTGAAAACTATGGTGTAGAATTTCCAACAGGACTCCTTATTTTATATAAGACAAGGAGTGGTTTATTTTCCCATGGTTGTTACATCATCTTGTCTTTGAATATGCTCGAAGTACAGGGACTTTTATGGAATTCATTGACATGATAGTCAAGCAAGATGTCAACATCTCGTCCAACCCTCTTCCAGCAAAGCAGACCAAGGATCTTCACCCTTTCAAAACAGGCTGTATACAGGACGAGTTATTCCAGTAGGAACAGGTACAAATCTTACAATCAATTTTCATTTGTTCCATATAGTCAATCTGAAATTAGGGGACCAACAATTGATACATTAGCTAGATTAAAAAAGGGGGGTGGGTGTTGAAGGGGCATGTGAATATTCTTTTACACCTGACCTGTTTCTAAGACATCTTATTTATTTCCTATGGCAAAGTGCAAGCAAATAATATATATCCATATATACATTGTTCTGTCTTGGGACCATTTGATTAAAAAAGCAAGGGGGAGGGTTAGAATGGTCAAAATATTTATGTCCTTGTCAGCTTAGGACAGAATTTTAATTTTCAAGCTATTAACCAGGGTACAATATATATTTATTTTCTGCTTTAAAAAATCAATTTATAGACCAGAATCATGATAATAATCAAAATCTATTTCAACATATTCAACGTTTAGCAGGTCAGGTTTTTATTCTCTTCCCCTAAGTTATATTTTCAGTTCTTACTGGAAGTTGTTCAGCTCTTTGTCTACTAAAAAAACTTTTATCTCGTGGAAAAGCCTCCTACAAATACATGTTTTACATACAACAAACTGTACATGTAACACTAGACAACTTTATCCAGAGAATAATATTTTATTAATGAACTAATAGGCCATTGAGACTAAAAAAATCAAAAGCATTGCAAACTTTTGTAAAGTTCAATTTTAGGACCCTACATGTACATGTATGTAGATTACTTATAGAGCCCTTTTTAAAAGAAAAAACATACATTTAAACTACATGCACAGTGATACTACCCTACATTTCCTGTCTGATATATTTTATTTCATGTAAAACAAAATTGAAGAATTATTTTATAGTTTAACACTTTTTATTTGTAGGGCTATATATATGCAAGCAATGCTCAATTAAGATGATTTTTTGTAAAAGTGACAATAGCCAGGTCAAACTAAATACATGTATAGAAGAAGATATTGGTAAGTTATTATTAACTTATATATTAATTTAACTGTTTGTATAACATGGTAATCATACAAAGTATATGTAATCACTTATATAATAACATAATTATTCAATTACATGTTATACATTTGTACATCAGTTTTATTAAACAGGTCTTTGTTAACTTGGTTTTCCCATTGAAAAATCACTTTGCTAATTTTAATTTGTAGTACTATATTGGGCGGCTCCTATACTTTCCATTCAATAACTAACAATGACTAATGAACTGTTCATACATTCCATTTCAATTATTTTATTTATTAATACGTATTACTTTTACTGTTAAGTCTGTTTTTTGTGATATCCATTTTACGTGACTGTATTTATGTATCCCGTCATACTTTGAACGACAAAATTATTTTATGTCTACCTGTGCGAATTTCAAACGTGCGATTTTACGCCAGTACTTAAAACCTTCCATCCTTTATGGGTGGATTTTACATAGATATATAAAATCGTATAATATAAGCAAAATGAGGATGCTAAATTTGATGTATGCCTTTTTGTGCTTCTTCGTTACATTTGTTTGTTTTTATAGTGATTAAGATGATAACACAATGTTGACTGCTGTACCCCTATTTTTGACAATTTTACCTATTGTGTCTGTTTGTTTTGTTCACGCATCGTTGTCAATATAATGGAATTTGATGAGACTATCATACAAGTGAGAGGTTTATTATCTAGCTATAAAACCAGGTTCAATCCACCATTTTCTACATAAGAAAATGCCTGTACCAAGTCAGGAATATGACAGTTGTTATCCATTCGTTTGATGTGTTTGAACTTTTGATTTTGCCATTTGATTGGGGACTTTCTTTTTTGAATTTTCCTCGGAGTTCAGTATTTTTGTGATTTTACTTTTTCAAATATAAAAGGGGGAGATTTTTATTTGTACTTTTGAAGATATTTCACCTGTTCGATTAATTGATTGGTTGTTGATAATGCTAATGTCCAATGGCAAATAGTTCATGCATGTTTAAGACAAGAACAAATTAAAATAAATACATTATTTGGGTTCTTAATATGCTAAATCTAACAATGTATTTGAATAATTTAAGATGTTGCAATTGGGCCCCATTTTAAATTGGTTCACATTGATTTCAAAATGGTCCAAAATTTTTTTTTCTTATTTCTACACAACTTGAATTCTTGAGGTTCTTTTGATATACAAAATGCAAATGTTTTATATTTAGATTTTTAATTTTGGTCCGGTTTTCAAATTTGTCCCCATTTTAAAGTCCAAAGGGTCCAAATTTTAACTTAGTTTAATTTTAACAAAACTTGAACTCTAATTACATGTACAATGAATTAGGGTTCTTTGAATGATAAATAGAAATAATCAAATATCCTGAATATAGATATGTACTTAGATTTATAATTTTGGTCCCAGTTTTCAAGTTGGTTCAAATGGGGTCCATAATTTAACTGTGTTTGATTTCAACAATAATTTTAAAGATGCTGATTCAGCCTGAATCTAACCTGTATTTAGTTTTTGGGCCCTATTATGAAATTGGTTTACATTGAGGTCCGAAGGGTCCAAAATTAAACTAAATTTTAAATCTTAATTTGATCTTTGGGTTCTCTGATATGCTGAATCTATTAAACTTTATCTTTATACCATATTTATTCTGTGTTAGAAACCTATTCTTTGTCAAATATATAATCCCATTACAAATTTAGAGCTGTTATAGCTTGAATGTTCTGTCCAAACTTGCATTTTTTCTTCATCTTCCACAAAATTTGTCCTTTTCTGAGATAACGGGTGTTATCTTTTTCAATGAAACTTTAGTGAAAAGAAAAGCACAATATGTGGATGACTATCTGATGTCAAACATTTTCAAGATGGCCACCAAGGATGGCACAAATTTCAACACTGGTTAATTTAATGAAAATTGTTGATTAGGGATAGTCGTGGTAGTTTGACTTGCTAAACAAAGTAAGGTTGTTTTTTCTTCCAAAATGGCAAAAATTTTCAAGATGGCCTTATATGAAAATTGACATTAAGGAATTATAGCACTTTTGACATGCAAACAAAACAATGAAATTTTTTTTTAAAGATGGACACAGCAAATAAAGGGTAAAATTTTCAATTTTGTTGAGTTTCATTTTAAAGAATATTGATATTTAGCTGTACTTTGACACAGAGAACAGATATAAAGATGGCCATCATTTCAAAGATTGTCACTAAAAGCGGTCAAATTATCACCATTGTCTGTTTTCAATGTAAAATTATATTGAGAGGTAATTTGACATGCCAAACCAAATGGAGGCAATTTTTATACGACAGAAAAAAAATTTTGTGGTCGTATATTGGTATGACGTTGGCGTCGTCGTTGTCGTCGTCGTCCGAAGACACATTAGTGTTCGCACTCTAACTTCAGTTGAAGTGAATGGATCTCAATGGAATTTTACCATAAGGTTCAATACCACAAAAGGAAGGTTGGGATTGATTTTGGGGGTTATGGTACCCACAGTTGAGGAATTAGGGGCCAAAAAGGGGCCAAAAATAAGCATTTTTGTAACTTCCAGACATAACTTGTGTGTAAGTGTATGGATCTCTCTGACACTGTACCACAAGGTTCCATATCACAAAGGAAATGCTGGGATTGATTTTGGGGGTAATTGCCTCCAAATTTTAGGAATTAGGAGCCAAAAAGGGGCAAAAAACAAGCATTTTTCTAGTTTCATGACAATAACTTGTGTGTAAGTGTATGGATCTTTATGAAATTGTACTACAAGGTTCCATGTCACAAAGAGAAAGCTGGAATTGAGTTTGGGGGTAATTGCCCAAAAAGTTTAGGAATAAGGGGCCAAAAAGGGTAAAAAAATAAGCATTTTTCTAGTTTCCAGACAATAACATGTGTTCAAATGTAGGGATATCTCTGAAATTGTACTGCAAGGTACAATACCACAAAGGGAAGGCTGGGATTGATTTTGGGGGTAATTACCTCAAAATTTTAGTAATTAGGGGCCATAAAAGGGCAAAAAAACAAGCATTTTTCTAGTTTCAGGACAATAACTTGTGTGTAAGTGTATGGATCTTTATGAAATTGTACTGCAAGGTTCCATATCACAAAGGGAAAGCTGGGTTTGAGTTTTGGGGTAATTGCCCTAAACGTTTAGGAATTTGGGGCCAAAAAGGGGCCAAAAAACAAGCATTTTTCTAGTTTCCAGACAATAACTTGTGTTCAAGTGTATGGATCTCTCTGAAATTGTACTGCAAGGTACCATACCACAAAGGGAAAGCTGGGATTGAGTTTCGGGGTGATGAATCATAAGGGGGTTCAAACAATTGGGGGGATTTTTTCTTTAAAATTTTCCATTTTAAATTGGTTATTCCTGATTTATATATAAAAGCAAATAATAATGATATGGTTTGAATAGGTAAATTAAAAAATTTTAAGTTCTTAGACCACTTCCATTCTGTGTGAGAAACCTATGCTGTGTCAAATATTTAATTACAATCCAAATTCAGTGCTGTATCAAGCTGGAATGTTGTGTCCATACTTGCCCCAACTGTTCAGGGTTCGACCTCTGCGGTCGTATTAAGCTGCGCCCCAGCGGAGCATTTTATTATTGTTGTAAAGATGTTAAGGGTTATTTGGACATGCTTAAAAGGAGTGGATAATAACTATTCTGCAAAAATTATTTGGCTTTAGTTGGGAGAATTTTGTAACTACATCCACTTACAGTAAAAGTTGTCAATTTTATTTCCTGTCAGTGGTATATATGAAATTAAAAAAAAATGTGGTATGATTGCCAATGAGAACAAATGACATAGAAGTAAAGCTATAGGTCTTCATACGCCATATGGCCTTCAACAATGAGCAAGACCTATACTGCATATATATTCAGCCATAAAAGGCCCCAAAATAAGAAAATGAAAAAATATGAAAACTAACAGCCTGATTTATGTATGTATGTCTTGTGGTTTTCAGATCTAGACTCGCAGCTAACCTTTCTGTCAGTGTCAACAACAACTGAACTTTCACAGCAGTCAACATCAGATTGGGAGACTGATAATGCTTCTAACAGAAACAATTTCAACCAACCAAACAAGCAACAGAAACTTTCCAACTTTAAAACATCAGTAAAATCTTCCATGGGATGATGTCTCAAAAAATAACAGTTCATCATTTATGGAGATTTTAATGTTATGGTTTTTCTTTTACAAGAAAGTTAATGTACACTTGTTTTATAGTAAAACCTATAGCCGTTCAAGTATAAAAAAACACATTCAACTTTATTGAAATTTGAAGATTCATATGACTTATTTTAATTCTGTTATCTCCGAGGATGTGATGTAGAGCATTATAGGTACAGTAATCTTAACAGCTATCCAATTTCATTCAAAATTCCTTATAAATTTTGCACTGGTATATATAGACTAAGTAATTTGTTTTTCGTCTAGTTATGGGATTTTTATTTAGAAGCATTTATGATTTTCATGTTTGTATTGACCACATTGCAGCAACATAGATATAGGTACCTGGCAAATCTTGCCTTGTTAGCATACTAGGCTCAAAGGGTCATAAAAAAAATTTCCATCACTAAGTGTCTGTTAAAATCATCTGTTTACAGTTTTCACTTTTAAACCATCATCTTAATAACTTTAGAAGAAGTGTCATACATATATATGTATACAAAATTTAAAAACTTTTCAATATATATATATATATATATTGATAAAAACTATCAACATGACAAGATCTAAATACCCAAAATTTTTCTGAAAAATTGGACATAACATCTATGAACTATTGTCCCTGAAATGTGTAAATTTACAAATTTTCACAGTTTTCTGCTACTATCCGACAACTACCGGAATATCAATATATTATAGAATAAATTGCAAAAGTGGTCAGAAGAAACTTTTTTTTTACAGTCTGAACTTATTCTGAATTGTTTAACTTCTAATTTAAATTGGTTGCGTTTGAAATATGTGTTTTTTATCGTTTTAGGTGCACAATTTGTCAATACGATCTATTTCGGCTCCTGGGAGCCTCTAGATTTATAATGAATAATTTGTATTTATGTATGATTATTTTCTTAATGTATTAAATGAAACATTAATTATTCTTTTCCATATGTTGTTATACTTATTTATAAGTCCAGATCCTATCATATGTCAGTAGTTACAAATTAGACGGCAAAATTGAGAAAATTTGAATATGCAGGTTACCCCATTTTGTTGTGGCATATACCAGACACCAACATTATTTGCCGAGCTTGATATTTTTTTTGATTGGGTATATATAGTTATACTTTGCAAGTAGATATGTTGTTTTACAATAATAAACGGGTCTTGGAGTATTTTGGCTCTGAAAGATGACCAAAATCAGCCATTTTGGACATGTAGCTAAATAAGACATATTGAAACAGTTAGATTATACATACACTTAATAGACAGCATTGTTAATTCTATGCATTCTTACACTTAAAGTGATGTATTACTAGGAACAACTATCAAAAAATTATAAATGTTACCATATTTTTTCATTTAAACTAGCGAAATATGCCAAAAAAGGCTTATTTTTGCTGTTTTCGAGCAATTTCATCTGTTAAAATATGGCGCTCAAAAAATATCCAGATCAGTTCAATATTTTCCCAAAAAAATTTGTGTGGTTATTTACATTACTAAGGTGCACCAATATGCCAAATATGAACTCATTTGGAAAAAGTGACATTCGGACGGTTTTGCATGGTATTCTGGCAGATTGGCTCTTAAGATCAAAGGTTCTTTATGGTATCTAAATTATATCATCGAAAGTAAAACGGACATCACTAAGATTCGGTCGACCGTTTAAGTAAACTCATCATAGATGCCAGGATTAAAATTATGTAAACCAGATGCGCGTTTCGTCTACAAAAGACTCACCAGTTACGTTCGTATAAAAAAAAGTTGAAGAGCATTGAAGACCCAACCTTATTTTTTTCTTGGGTACAAAATCCTTAGATTTAAGAAAAATTCAAAGTATCGTAGACAGTTAAGTTATAATTATGACCATATCAATGATGAAGAATATTTCTGTCCAAGTTGTCCATAGATATATTTTATTGCTCAAAGTCACTATCCCAATACCCCATTAGTCGATCAATACATCATCAAATGTGATATTCGTCCTTTGTTTCTTTATTCCATGGTGTTATCTGTCTTTTTAGAGATGACCATGATATTGACGAACGAACTTACGAAAGCGTAACTTGACGAATCGTACGAAACGGGAGCTGCTGTGTTATACATAGTTATGTATAATCCTAACATAAAAACGCTAGTTGTAGTATAGTAATTCGCATCGTCTGCATGTAGTTTGAAAAAGATGTTTTCTACAAAAGCAAATGGTACACTCAATATCTAAAACTCTGCTTTATAAATTGAGGTTCCATAAGGGTTTTAATGAGTTTTGTGGTAAGAAAAGTGTGAAAGCATAGATATTGAAGTTTACTATATTTATATAATTAATGATCAATACGTATATAACTAAACGAAATCGTTTCCACATTTCAAAATTTCAAAAAGTTATAAGTCATCTAAGGTTTGTTATTGGGGACTTGTCATTTTCTTTCATAGGGGGAAGGGAAAGGAAAAATCCGAATTTCTCTTTTTTTCAAGATTCCACCATGAAGAAGGAAAATAAATTTAAAAGACATGAAAATTTCAACCCACCCGCCCCACCCCAAACACGTTTCAATACTTATATTCTTTACAACATAAGGTACATGCTATATTAATATTATTCAATAAGACAAGGCATCAGTATTGGAAATAAAGCTTCAAGTGGGGAAGTTGTTTGTTGTTTCAGACTACAGGGAACTTCAACTAGATATGCCTGTTATGGTCTCAAGGACATTTACAACACCTTTTTTCAATTTCAGCACATTGTTTTAAAAAAAGTTAGTAACTTAACTTCAGATAAAAATACTTTCTTGGAAGAACATGTTGAAACTTAGGATGTTTTACTGAGCAATTGAGCCGAGCGGAGCGAGGCGAAAAATGTATGTCTTTCCTGCCAAAAAAAATAAATATTTTCTTTCTTATAAGGGGAAGCGTTGTAAGTCGCCTGAATCCATACTTCCAGCTCGTAAAGGAAAATTATTCACGTTGAGACATATTAAAAATGCCACACTTGACTCTTGGATATCATCTTGAACCATCGAAATATATGCTCAATCATGAGTTTTGCGATTAATCTTTTTAAGGACACAACTTTTAATATTATCAGTGTTTTATCATAAGGAAAGGGAATATAATATTAAGAAGACATTCGCGAAAAACCTTTAAAAAAAAGAAAGACATAAAACCATTATTCCCTATTATTGTCATTCTCCATGTCTAACAAACAAACAGAAGTTGGTCATGACTCACATGAATAAAACATTTAACATTGAAATGAAGTTTGAAGCCAAAAATTATGACACAATAGTTATAGATATGACATCGGAATCGAGTGTCAGACACTTCTGTTGAAATACACAACAGCTAAAATCTAGTAAACAATTTAGATGCCCACCCCCTCAAAATTTTTGAGGCCACTTAGTTCCCTCCCCCTCCCTTCAGGATGCAAATGACCAGTCCTTTGGGAAGGACAGAAATACCCTGTTTTCCCACTTCAATTGAGTAACTGTAAGGCAATATATCTGAATTCCGAAATAAACAAAGGTTGACATACCATCATCAGAATAATATTCTTATCAATCGTATTATTTGCTTTCTGAGTATTTTTGAAATAATGAAATTTTAAATACTTAGATCGGTGAAACGTAATTCAACAATCTACGCAATTGCATGTGTATCAAACAAACCATGTCAGACGAAGTTTGTTGCAGTCCATAAATTTTCCCAAAGTAACGGGTCTTTGGACTTTATAAATTTTAATTCTATCCAGTATGCAAGTAATCATTGCATATCCTCTGACATGGTTTGATATCCATACTAAAATGTTGTTTTAAGTTTTGATAGTAAAATAAGGGGTTGTAACAGATATGGTAAATTTACCTAAAACTAGATGAGACATACGTAGTAGTGATAGATAAGTGGTATAAACAGAGAAAATTAAATATTTTAAATAATAATTAATAAAAATCAAACAAAACAAAAAAGGGGTCTACCCCATAAGCGCCTGTGGTCATTTTGAAATACATGTTTTGTTTTCTTTTAAATAGTTGTAAGGCTTTAAAGTTATCTTTGAATGCGTTATTAATGGACCAGGTATGCCTTATGTCTAGTAAACTCCCTTATATAATATTTTATTTACTCTTATGACCAGTTTTTTTACACAAAAATAGTTTTATAGAAAATTCTTTGTAACAGGAATCTTTTTTTTTTTTATTTGGTACAAAAAAAAATATAGGTTTTTCATTTTTATTGTAAACTGATCGATTTGTTTGTCTGAACTTGAATACCCAATTAAAAATACAGAGCAAACATTCGATCCGACAACAATGATTTTACAAATTATTTCAAATCATCAAAAGTTTGCATTCATATTTGTTTGAACATTGCAAAAGTCGTCGGTGCACTCGATTAATCCTATGTGTAATGTACATTTCATCGTGCTTTCAACAATAACAAACAACCACATTGTATCGTAAGGTATGTAACACTTTCGGAAACTATTAAACGTCTTTCAGTTATATTATGAAAACCTTTTTGAAAATCGGTATATTTTATGCATTTCTATCTATTAAAGTGATTGCATCCAAATACATTTTTAACATGATAACATCTTTTAAGTCTTAAGTGCGTTTGTAAGCTTACAATTACTGCTCCTATTACGTTCGTTTATCGAAATATGTTCGTTCGTCAATATCCAGATCATCTCTTTTGAGACCTATGTTTTTATCGTCCCATTGCTATCTTCTTACTTTATTTATTCCTTGAGTTACCTTTCAACGTGCTAATACTTCGGCTACTATGCAGATTTTTACCTACACAGTGTCGATCCAGTTGTATCATCGATAGTTATCTGACCGAGTTTTAAAAGTGAATAGAGTGATAATTGTTAGTGGGAAAACCAATGAAAATAATTATATTTTTCACTTATCTAGCAAGGATGCGAAAAGGTGTTACAAAAGTTTAAATTATTGCCATCAAACATTATTCTCAAAGTTTAGTGGATGTCATAAGTGAGAAGGTGTAATTATTCTATAATTTTGGGTTTGTATTCATATGTCATGGGTTGGTTTGGTAAAAAGTGAAGAAAAAAAATGTCGGAATCAAATGATTTGCTACTTGCGGTGTCTGCTTTAAAACTATCACCTTTTCAGCAAGGATAGGGTGTGAAAATAGTTAAAAATATTGTGTGACAAACATTTTTCACGATTGATTGTTTTTGGTTTTTCAAACTTTTAAACCAAAACGCAACTGATACATTGCCTGTGATTCCTATCACCATTTGCTTACTAGTTGCAGCTCAGATGTTAGCTATAAGATTAGGAGTCGGTCCTTAATGATAAATTTTAATGTCTATCATCGATAGTTATGATAATATCATCGACAGTTATTATGATATCATCAAAATGGTATCTTTTAGAAAACTTTTCTTTTCCGCTAAGTATGCTAAAGTTAGGAGTAAGAGCAAGGACATGTCAGCTTGGAGTTAGTATAATGTGTCTGATTAGGTTGACATGTCTTCTTGCGGACTGTCGCCTTGTAAACTAGCACTGCAAAATAATATCCCGAGGACCTGACTTTTACATTTTTTGAAGACAGAAACTACCTTTCCGGTGTTATATATTTGATTTAAAATACTTGTGAGTCTTGCTCCAAGAGGAACAACTATAGTGGATTACACCTTACTAATACTACTATTTATATCTTTCAAATTTAATGAAAGAGCCAAAGTACAATGACTCAAACTAAAACCAAACCAACAATTGATATTTTCACTGATCTGTGTGAACACTTGTAGTGTTCGATATATACATAAAAAAAAGACCTTAATTGCGCAAAAAATAAAAGTCAACTTGAACAGCATTAAGAGAATCTTATTTTATTTGAATGAAAAATTCAAAGGTAATACCCTTGTTTTGTCCGGTAGTATACTGTTCCCAAGAAGGTTATTTTATCTTTGTTGGATTA